ACCAGCTTAGACTGTGCTGGGGGGTCTGGAGGCGGGGGGGGTTTGAAAGGTAGCCAGCGATGGCTGGCTGGGTCACTGCAGTCGGCAGAGATTGGGGGGGGGGGTGGGGGGGAAGGGTCTCAGCTCACAAAAGGTCCATCTTTATGCTCTGGGTCTGCATGCGAACATTAATTTACTCAGAGTGCAGGAGGGATGCAACCCTACAAGCACATCACACTGTAGTCATCTCCTCAAAGACCTCGAAGCTCACTTACCAGGAGAATTTAAGGACGATATGGGACAGATGTCAATGTACCATACTGTCCCAGTCCAATCTCCCTTGCTGATAAAACTGGTGACGGGAGAGAATTTATACCTCTGCATTCAAGGAGAGTGATTTTACTCAATCGAAGGTAAGAAATATGGAGGGGGGGTGGTAAACAATGACGCCCCCATCTGACCGGCCGCTTCAGCAAGGGTGACTGCTGTTCTGTGGGCTATGAAGGATCTCCGAGAAGGTGCCTTCCCCCCAAACAAATATCTGCTGTTTAAATTCAGAATAATTTTTTACCAGCCACTAAACCCATAGGCAGCTGCCTTTGACAGCTTAATGCCAGTTTCCTAAAACCCAGAGCAATACACTCCATCTATAAATCACGTAACACATGCAAAATGTCTGAATAATTATTCTCAGCAGTCAAACAGATAAGTTTCAGCATTTTTTAATTCCAAAGTAGCTTGGTGAAGTACAGCCAAGAGATGGGGATCTTACCTTTCCCGGGTCATCTTTGGAGCGAGGCACTTTGAGAAAACACTTGTTTAGGGACAAATTGTGCCGGATTGAGTTCTGTGGAAAGGTAGAAAAAACACACACTGAGGTCAGAGCAGACACCACCACCAACAGTGAGCACCACTTAACTTGGCGCTTTTCTGCTAAATAAATAAAACATAAATGTGAACCTTTCTCAAACCTGAGACCCGCCAAATGAACTAGGGGCATGTTAATATTTCTTTTTCCTGATGGGTCCCACTACAATAGGAGAGGTGATGAACTTCCAGCAACTGCACGAGGCAGACAGACGTGTGTAAGGCTTTACGATTTAGTGTGTTTTGTGACGGACCTCAGATGAAAAAACCCACAGACTGAGTGCCAGGTCATGACCCCACATTCTGTCACCACGGCTCAGCAAGCTGTCCCACACCCAGCTGCACAGCAGGACTGCTCACTTTTAATGTCTAAATCCTGAGTCATTTTAAAGACCATTATTATTATTATTATTATTATTATGTACATACTAAAGGCACCCAGCCCCCCCCCCCCCCCAACAGAGCTGCCCAGTCTGTTTGGCAGAGGAAATTAACGGCGGCTTGCACTCCTATCGACAGTGTGGTCATTCTGTCACTCCTCACAAAGCAGGCAGTCCATCGATTTCCGCCGGATGAAGCCACGCACCCTGGACTGGGGCGGTGGCGAGCTCTTCATTCGCTGAGCTGGAGCCGGGCCAGCACGGCGAGCCCCGCAACCTTCCATCAGCGAGCTGACAGGAGGAGACGGCCACAGCTGGAACGCGGCCAGGCCGAGGCCGGCCAAGAGCTCGGCCGAAATGCTGACTGGCGAGCGTGCTTTACTGCGGCAACCCTGAAGGCAGCTGACCGAAAAGACTCACACGGCGGGAGCAGCACCGGACAGGGTGCAGTGTAGGACCCCATCTGGGCTGGGGAATGCAAGCAGGGAGGGGGGGGGGTCTAAAAACGGACGAATTCGAGCCCAGGAGACTGCTCTTGGAAAGTAAAAGCAGAGACAGGCCCCTTCCAAAGCCTGCTGGTTGTGCATCCAAACTGCGACGTATTCAGAGAGTGCCCACACAGCCTCAGTGATGGGGGGCGTCGAAGCCTGGCATCCAGCAGGGACACTCGCTAGGAAAAAGGCCCCCTCCCGCTACCTGCCCGCCCATGTCTCCCACCGAGCAATATCAGGACACAGCATTGCTGAAGATCAGCCAGTCACTGCTGCCAACCTGTCGCAACATGTTGCAACATCAGCCGCATACTCGCCTGAGACAGAGTCACAGCCAACAGCGAGCACCGGCAGCGGGCACCAGGAGCGGGCACCAGGAGCGGGCACCAGGAGCGGGCACCAGGAGCGGGCACCAGCAGGCAGCAGGCTCCTGGTGTGTGCTAAGCCCAAACCGTGTCCCCTAGGTATAAGCAGGTACTGTGCTAACTGGCATTCAGTCATTTTTGATAGGTAGCCTGCAACAAGGACACTGAAGGGGAGCAGAGAAGAGGACAGGGGTGGGCAGCCTTAACCAGCTGCATCCACGAATGAACATGGAGGTGTTGTGGCCAGCGGGCAGTGCGTGTGCGTCCCAGGCATGCTGGGACAGCCAGCGCCGGAGGCAGCTTCAGGACTTGCTGAAGGGTTTAATAGGTGATATTTCCAAGGTGACAAGCTGGGCACCTGGGGACTAACCCCCCCCCCCCCTTCCTCTGCCTAGGGGCCTAGGCCCCTGCACCACACCCCAGCGATGAGGTGTCAGGCTGTCCGATAAGTTCGCCTGCCTCCCCGCTGCACACGGCTGCTGTAAAGGTGGGCCAGCTGTAAATGCGATTTCCCCATCTAAAACCAGGGTGCGTTTCCCTGTGATGTGAGAACTCATTATGATAAAGAACCAAAAGCGTGTAATAGCTTAGGCAGAGATGGTGAACCTGTCCGGAGGGCTGAAGCCCGAGTCCTCCAACCACTGCAAAAACAGGTGCTTCCGTACGCACGTGCATCCCCAAGAGGGCACCAAAACGAACAGGATGAAGAGCGTAGAGCGAAACTGACAGATGGGTGGCCGATGGGGAGAGAGACGGCGGGCGTAGCGCATCTCAGACGGACTAAAGTGGAAACCGTCACTCAGAGCAGACACAGACCACCGGGGGGCGCTCATTCCAAGTCTGCTCACAGCATGCCCCATAGGCAGGTCCACCTCCAGCAGGGCATTAACAGAGCGGCTTTGCAGAGTTAAAGACACCTTCCTCTGACCAGACTTTAATGCATGCATAGCCATGTATAATCCCATATAAAATCCCTCCACTGATTCTTTGCAGACTTGCTGCCCATGCAGAGGGGAACCCCCCCCCCACAGGGGTGGAAAATGGAGCAATCCAAAGGAGCCAGCAGGAACCACGGCTGTAAGCAGAAGCTACCTGCTCGTGGCTGCCGGGGCACTCAGGCTGAAAGAAAGAAAGAAAGAAAGAAAGAAAGAAAGAAAGAGAGAGAGAGAGAGAGAGAGAGAGAGAGAGAGA